TTTATTTTTTTATATATATATATATATATATATATATATATATATATATATATATTAATCTATTTTTATGTCATGTAATTTTTATATTCAGAAAATATAAAAAATTAGGACAAAGAAATAAAATACTATATATTATTATTATAACAACTTTAATCAAACTAATTCTTGAACACTGACAAAAAACTATTAAAAGTGGATACTGATTTTTTTGCTAAACTTTAGTTATTAGCGAAATTAACGTATATTACACCAATACCATGATAATCCTAAAATAAAAATGGTAAGAAACTTAAATAGTAGTTAATATAGTATTTTATTAAATCAATTATTATGTGCAAAATGTACATGATTCACTTTATTACTATTATCTTATGCATTATTAAGTTGCTCTATGTTATATTCTTAATTCGGTTCCCTAAAAGGATCAAATAAAGAATGCATAAGAGATAAAAGGCAGCTGAGAATAAATCAATAACGTTTATAAAACCCACTTTACTAATTTTTTATGTGTAAACATAAATCATTATATATGTAAGAAATAAGGATTGAATACCTAATAAATATACTTTACTATAAATGAAGGGTACGAAAATAATAAGAAGGTTTTGAAATAAGTCATTATTATTTCTTATAATTAGCAGCATAAAATAATATTTTTATTTATTACGTTATAATTATAAATCTATTTAAATCACAGTAGTCATCAAGGGGGTGTAGCTCATATGGTAGAGCGCTCGCTTCGCATGCGAGAGGCACGGGGTTCGATTCCCCGCACCTCCACCGTTTTATATTTTATCCTTTTTAATTTTCCTCTTTTTCAGCCTGCTCCTTTTATTAATGCAATGATTTTGTATTGGTTATGTTACCTGAGAAAAAAAAAACATATATAAGTGTCAAATGGATAACTAAAATGAAATCAATCGAATAAAAAAATGATTTCGAAAAACAAAATTCATTGACTTATTTGTTTTTAATTTTTGATAACTTTTAGTCCCTAAACTATGAAGCGATTTTGTTTTTAATTTTTCTTTCAAACTAAAGTATTTTTGGGTCCTTCTCCTTTAGGAAAACATAATTTTTCATCATCAAAAATTAACGGTGTTAAA